CCCCCCCCGGCTAGGCGTGACGGGCGCGCGAAGCGCGCCCAGAACGGCTAGTACCTCATATATGTATAGGTACCTTTTTTTATTTTTTTTATTTTTTCTCTACGAAATTATTACTTCATTTTGAAAACATTTATATTTTTAAAACGTGACAAATATCTGTAAAACCTTTTCCAAGCGACATTAATCTCAATGAGCCGCAATTGTACCGACAGAAACTGCAAAAATGAGTAAAAGAGGAAAAAAAAAACCAAGAAGCACGCAATCTTTAGTTTTAACCCATTTGTACCTCGATCTTTTAGAGTCAAATACGTCAAATTTTGAGCGTTTCGTTGCGCGTACACCTCGCTGAGCACAATAAAAGCACAAAATTTAAAAGAAAAAATTAAAGCGCCTAGGAAATCATTAAATCTGACACGGAACCACCAATATTTAAAAAAAACACATTACATTATTATTCTCCTTTGATAATTTGATACATATTTTTTCCCCATCAATTTAAATGAGAATAATCAATGCAGAGTGTGCTGACATTTCAAAATCATGAGTTAAAAAACGCTAACTTTGCGAGTATAAATATTAAAACCGAACAGAGCGGAGCGGCATGCTGCCAGCGCGAGGGGCTCACTGGCGCCTACAAACCTAAGTGGATACCCCACGCATTGCACAGTGCTTGAAGTATCCACTTAGGTTTGTAGGCGCCAATGCGCGTTGCGCGCTGGCCGCCCGCCCGCCGTGCGGCGGTGCCTGAGGCAACTATTTCACAACAGAGGTGTTGCACAGTATTATACGAAATTGAACGTATTAAGAATGACAGGCATCCTTTAAAAGTACAGATCTTTCCTCGCAAAATAAGTCAAGATACTTATCATACACAGGAAAAATCTAAGAGCCTTTAGCTGAGGCAAATATAGAGGTTTATCCGGTTCAGGTACAACAAGGTGGGAATTTCTTGAAAGATAATTAAGTCCTGTTACACCAAAGAGGTGTAGAGAGTTTTAGTGAATTTTGTCTCATGGAATTGACGCTCCCCCATTTTTACCAAAACTCTCAAGTATATATTATTCTCCGTTGGACCAAACAGACAAAACAAAAAAACAAGCAAACCCTCATTCTTCCAAGAAATTATATATCGACGGTGAAAGTCGGCAATCACATAACTCGTTTGCGGTGTCTGAAAATCTCCGCCTCTACGTCATTTTCTCAAAGGAGAACAAATTGATATTAAATCTTGAAGTTTTTGCAGAATTTTCTTCGCATTGAGAAGAAAAATCATGACAGTTTTAAAGAATTGCCGTTGAGTAGTTTTCCATTTAAAAAATAAAGTATGACAGGAAGTCTACGACGTCGCAAACCGAGTTATGTGATTGCCGACTTTCACCGTCGATATTTTCATCCAAAAACGTCGTGAGCAATTTTCGTTTGTATTACAATTAACATGTGGGCCAATTAACTTTGGGTCCCAACTGGCACGTGGACCAAAACTCCCGTGCCGAAAAAACGCGTGTACGTAAATTACTGGAAAAAAACAGGTGCGCGGACAAAAAATCGTTGACAAAATGTCCTTTAACCATAAAGAGTATTCTGTAATCATTTCAGATAGTTAGGTATCAATGAAGAAAAACATCTCTTTTTGAAAAACACGGCGACTCAGAAAGTCGAAATAATGGGTAGCCCGTTTTAGATTACCTTATGAGCAAAATTCATCCAGTATTTAACACAGTTGATACGTGTTTGGCTCTTTATATGGTCTAGACAACGTGGTGCAAACGTTAGCATCGGATGCCTCTACAAATATGATTCCCCCTCATCCCTGTCCCTCTAACATGACGGTGTATACTTCCATTTCCACGTGGGTCCTGAAAAGCATGGCGTTAAAAGGACGTTATGTCTTATCTCAAAATGCAGTTTCGCCCTTGCGTCGGAGGAACGACGCGTGGCCGGTATGATAGAAATGAAAAGGAGGAGAAATTGCAATATTCTCAGGAGATGCATGCTTGGATATCTAACCGATTTAATGAAGGCGTTTCTAATTATTATGACTTTACGTTGTTGATGACTCGATGGCTCGATGGTCGCGGTTCAGCATGAAGATGTTCTCATTGTTCCTCCAGAGAATGCACACATACACATTAAGAATACGGAATCAAGGTACCCCTTGGAACAAAATAAGTTATGACTTAGGAGTGATTTTCATCTTAAATAATGAATACGTTTGCTCCTGTCAAAATGTTGGTATTCAGAAAGAATATACCTTTAGGGAATACATGGAACGTTATCTATAACATTGAGCCTTGTAGGAATGTCGAGGGATAAAACTTTCAAACATCTTTTTTCAGTTTCAAATGGATGTGCGGCTTATTGGATCCCCTATTTCTGCTGAATTCAGTCCAAATATGGGAAGCTAGTAGGCTATCCTATAGTCTGTAGACTATACCTCCTGCATTCAAATAACACGATTTTTTTAATTCAGAAACAACTTGAGTCAAGATATACTTTGTGTCTAAGACTGCGAGTGCAAAGGCGTTTACCGAAAGGAATATTATTATTTGGGAGGAAAATTGCCTCTTCTGATTTCAAACCAGAATCTGACCTCTATCTTTCTAGTTTTGGTTAATTTTTGTGAGAGTGCCGTGATCATTTTAATTTCCTCTCTGGTTGACTATTCCGTCCAACAAAATTTTGATCTCTCTTTCAACTCTAACAATACAGTGTCAAAAAGTAAAATTCTCATTATGTCGTGGAGAATAATTATTATTTCTTATTCCACTGAAGAAAGATATTAAGGTGTGCAGAGCAGAATCTTCATCAACCGAAGGATTTCCTTTGATAAATTTTTAGTGGTGTTACCATCTGATTGTGAAGATGAAGATTGTTATCTAACGCATGATCATACTTTTGCATTTACAAGATGATCATACATTTTTGAAATTCATATCCACAAGCAATTCTGGTATCATGTTGAGAATTTTGACTGGTACTTCGGAGAGTTCCGAGACTTCTTGCGATGAAGCGTGCTTTCAACAGCTCGAGACAGACACCAAACTCGGATTTGCCCTCGATACAGACTGTGAAATTAATGAGCGAACTCTGAAAAACGTGAGTGGCCAATTTATATACCCAATTAATTTTTGGTAAATTGACGATAAGCCAAGTAACAAATCAATAAATAAAGGATTAAAGTAAACAAATTTGCAAAATTAGCTTATTTTACGCTTTAATGCAATAGACAATATTTTCAGCTATTCTTATGTATCATCCACTTGAAGCTCATCGTAAATTTTTCTGGATAAGGAACAAACCAAGGAGGATGTGCGAATAGTTTTATCGCTGTGAAAAAAACGGAAAAATACTAAAAACAAAAGAGATAAAACGAAACCACTTTCTTCGCTCAATGCTTGTTGATCAGGATTGTAACTTTTTCATCATTTCAGGAACTTTTCGGAAAATGCAGCGTGATAGAATTTTTTTTTTTAGATTAGTTGGATTGCATTTTTCAAAAAGGAACCAAGGGCAATTCGATGTTGCTAAACTTGTGCTACTTACATTCTCTGCAATATAGTTACTGAAATCACGCAAAAAATTAAATTGACGAAGGTAATTCTCATCTTGAAATTTTTGTATATTGAGAGTTATAAGATAAAACTTGTTTAGATGATCAGTTTATATATTTACAAGGTAAAAAAAGTTGCACAATCTTAGCGACATTTGAATAGTCGTGGTTCTTTTTTACAAAATGCAATCCAGTTATGATTTCCCCTAATTGAATCACATTTAGCAAAAAGAGACAAGCGCGATCACAGTGTGTTCGAAGTCGTAGAACTTCCTCTTTCTTTTTACACACATACATACATTAATCCACGTTCACACCGCAGCCTCGCGCTCTGCGATCCAATCGACATTGCCCCCTATCTTCCCAGAGATCATCAGGTTATTGGCACCTTCTGATCTCCTCTTCCACCCCTTGTCGCCAACTTTCCACAGGACAACCTTTTCCTCTTTTTTTTTTTACAAATACTTAATATATGTACAGCATTAACATTCACACAATTATTTCGCTTTAAAGTTAACCATTTATTGGTGGGAGGCAAAAACTATTCACTATTTTGCGAGATTTTTTAGATAATTTTGAAGATAAAGAAGCAACATTTTTACAATACTAACCGCGCTGGTTCCTTTTCGCTAAATGCGATCCAATTCTTTTACTATGAATACTACTTCTAATTGACCTCTCTTTAAATACGTTACGCAGATCCCACGAACATTTTTTCTAAGCGAGAGGTACTCTTGGGTTCTTTGGAGTCGGCGGAAAGACCTCGGGGAAGAGGGACGGAATCTGGACTTAGCCTTGTCCTTGATGAGTGACGTCACATTCGCAGTGCTGAATTCGAGTTCGGCCCAGCTGTATGATGTCTATAAAGTCAACGGGCGTGAGGTGGGCGATTTGAACATAACCGACGCAGGCTATTGGACCAAAGAGGAGAGAATTCAATGGAAGCTCACCCAAACTAGATTGCAGAGAAGGAGGAGTATGCACGGACTGAAAATCTCCACCGTCATGCTGGTAAGTCGAATATCGGGCTGATTATTGAAATCCATCGACAAATCGATGAACAAAGAAGGGAAGAAGAAACGGGTGGTAACGGAACACGGGTGGACTGAGGGCGAAGATGATGGACTAACTGGATTGCGTTTTGCAAAAAGTAACCAAGAGTATTCCAATGTCGCTAAGATTGTGCGACTTTGTTTGTCTTACACTGGAAAAGAAAACACATTGGATCTAGAGTCCGGACTCTTAAAAACATCGACAAGAAAAAATACTCTTGATTCAATCGGATTTTTGCTTAAATCAAGAACCAAGCCTCTTAATTTGAGTGGATTTCCTTTTGATTTTAGCTTAAATCTGATTGAATCAAGAGTCCTTTTTCTTGTCAATGTTTTCAAGAGTCTGGACTCTAGATCCAATGTATTTTTGGTTTTTTTTAGTGAAATACACGCAGATTATCTGAACTAATTTTAACTTTACTCCCAATAATATATAACTTAAAGACGAAAATTACCTTAGTAGATTTAATTTTTTTGCATGATTTCAGTAATTTTATTGAATGAATGTAAGATACACAATCTTGACAACATTGGAATGCTCTTGGTTCCGCTTTGCAAAATGTAATCCAACTATAGGGTATCTGGCCCTAGTTGCCCTCAGTTGGATTTTCCCTCCTTTGTCCATTGCAGCTATCCGTTTCCACCATTAGGATAGCTTTTCTTTCAGTGTGTCGTCTTTGTCTATCGCTTTGTCTATCAATTTCAACAAAAGTCTTAGCCGTGATGAACCCTTTGTTTTTTTGGAAAACGTGAACCGCCTTCAATTGAGAGAGTATGCGACCCGCAAACGTCGTGGCTCCTATCCCGAGCCCTTGAGCGCTAATCCAGTCCTGATTAGATTGCCAGTGAGGAATCTCTGTAATATTATGTCTCTTTACGCAGTTAAACATTTCCATGTTTCTTGTCATTTTTGTGTCAGCTCAACCTAAAGGACTTGGTCGCTTAACACACTTTTGTTAAAAATTAACCCCAACCAGGGTCAGGGCCGGATTAAGGGGGTGGCCACATGGGCCGCGGCCCATGGCGGCAGATCTAGGGGGCGGCAAAGTTTGCAATTTTTTTAAAATATAGGTATAAAAAAAAATCTGATTTAGAAATAAAAAATTACAAACGAGAAAAGGCTACAAAATCTCTCATTTTCTGAGAGTATAGTAATTTCTAATTTTGTCGTCTTTCAGTGATACAAGAGACAGCACCTTTAATTAGTCAAGTTAAGAGAGAAACCAAACACACAATTTGGCCTGGTACGGCGCGACTTAGGGAGAAATGATGACGAGGACTTGAGATGAAAAGGAGAAGCCCTCGGCGCGGCAATCGGCATGTAACTCATATTGGCGCCTACAAGACTGCACGAATACTTCACGCATTGCATCAAACACAGTCCGGTCATTGCGGTCAGCGTGAAACGGATAGCGCCTAGAAGAATGCATGAATACTTCACGCATTGCGCCAAACACAGTGCGGTCAGCGTGAAACGCATAGCGCCTACAAGACTGCGTGAACACTTCACGCATTGCGCCAAACACGGTGCGGTCTGCGCGGCGCGGCGGCGGAAGTTAAAATCATTAATCCAAATTTTGTGTTTGTTCTTTCATAATTTTTTCGTTCATTTCTNGACAAATATACGCAGATTATCTAAACTAATTGTATCTTTACTCCCAATAATATATAACTTAAAAACGAAAATTACCTTTGTAGATTTAATTTTTTGGCATGATTTCAGTAATTTTATTGAATGAATGTAAGATACACAATCTTGGCAACATTGGAATGCTCTTGCTTCCATTTTGCAAAATGCAATCCAACTGTAGGGTCTCTGGCCCTAGTTGCCCTCAGTTGGATTTGCCCTCCTTTGTCCATCGCAGCTCTCCGTTTCTACCATTAGGATAGCTTTTCTTTCAGTGTGTCGTCTTTGTCTACAGCTTTGTCTATCAATTTCAGCAAAAGTCTTAGCCGTGATGAACCCTTTGTTTTTTTGGAAACGTGAACCGCCTTCAATTGAGAGAGTATGCGACCCGCAAACGTCTAAGCTCTTATTCCGAGCCCCTGAGCGCTAATCCGATCCTGATTAGATTGCCAGTGAGGAATCTCTGTAATATAATGTCTCTATACGCAGTTAAACATTTCCGTGTTTCTTGTCATTTTTGTGTCAGGTCAACCTAAAGGACTTGGTTGCTTAACACACTTTTGTTAAAAATTAACCCCAACCAGGGTCAGGGCCGGATTAAGGGGGTGGCCACATGGGCCGCGGCCCATGGCGGCAAATCTAGGGGGCGGCAAATTTTGCAGTTTTTTTAAATATAGGTATAAAAAAATCCGATTCAGAAATAAAAAATTACAAACGAGAAAAGGCTACAAAATCTCTCATTTCCTGAGAACGTAGTAATTTCTAATTTTGTCGTCTTTCAGTGATACAAGAGATAGCACCTTTAATTAGTCAAGTTAAGAGAGAAACCAAACACACAATTTGGCCTGGAACGGCGCGACTTAGGGAGAAATGATGAGGAGGACTTGAGATGAAAAGGAGAAGTCCTCGGCGCGGCAAGCGGCATGTAACACATATTAGCGCCTACAAGACTGCACGAATACTTCACGCATTGCATCAAACACAGTGCGGTTATTGTGGTCAGCGTGAAACGGATAGCGCCTACAAGAATGCATAAATACTTCCTGCATTGCACCAAACTTAGTGTGGTCAGCGTGAAACGCATAGCGCCTACAAGACTGCGTGAATACTGCACGCATTGCGCCAAATACGGTGCGGTCGGCGCGGCGCGGCGGCGAAAGTTAAAATCATTAAACCAAATTTTGTGTTTGTTCTTCCATAATTTTTTTGTTCAATTCTCATGAATGGAAGGCCTTGTCCATTACAGATAGGTTTACGAAACTTGACTTTCGCGCAAAGTTCCGTGACCTTTTGCTAGTAGTGTTGACAGACAGGGCTTTCCCAAAAAATGTTTCCAACACGAGTAAACGCGTCTTATGCACCCCTCCCCCGCTGGCACGTTCACTTGATGGTTTTTATTGATGTTTTATTGATGCAAAATACATGCGGCCCATGGGTGGCAAGTAGGAAAATCCGGCCCTGACCAGGGTTACTCTAAAACATCGAATTATGACGAAAGTGTCCTGCCGAACGTACGGACTCTTTTTTTTCCTCCCCTTTTTCAAGGCGTAAATACACACGCACGGCGATTAATCGCCTTGTGTATTTAGGCCTTCAGAGGTTGCGACTTGCGTGTGGCTATAGCGCACTGAATTTCCACCGATGCGATTCAGGGTCGGTCCTGAAGGCTGGCGACTAATTTTTAGGTTGGCCACGGATTTTCAACAAATAGAGATTTGGTTCCTTCAACCCAAAGATTCGGTCGATTTGACACAGAGGAAACACACAAATAGATCAACCGACAGCTTGTGCTTTTTCGTGCCTTACTCCCTATATCAACACAAGATTTTGGTTACCTTTTCTTACTGTGTATACTCATGGCTAATCTCTCCAATTTTACACGCACCTATAATCTGTCGTGCTAAAGAAGAGGGCCGTATGAACATTCGAGAGTTGCCAAATTTTCCCGAATAAAGAATGTATTTTTGAAAAAAGTTATGCGCGCTTCTTCCTTAAAATTTTCCGATATTCTAGATTTAATCGGGAACAAAATTGTCTGAAAAATTGGAAGAAAAATATTCAGAATTTTACCAGTATATTCGTTGGTTATTAAAGGAAATGTGGCAACGCCTGAAGGCTCATACGGCGTTTTTCCTTAGCATGACAGTGCTCTTGGATGTTATTTTCGCCTCTTCTAAGGGAGAGGTGTTGTACAGCTTATTTTTTTCTGCGGAGCGTGAAAAGGAACCGGCAACTTAGCGTGGGTGTCACGCCGAGTGGAAGTATGGATTGCTAGAAAATGAAAGTCCTCCCATTCAAAATAATTAGCTTCACGGTCTGGAGCGGACTTATTAACATTGGAATAAATACAAACTGCCGAGTTATCACGTCAGCTCAAGCCCCGTTGCTTAGCGCTCGGCTAAACCAGCATCAATGGCGTGGCGTGAATTGCGATGTATCGATTGTTCTGCCATTTGAAGCTATGGTAAAGAATCGATTATTAAGGTGTTCGCTGCGAACGCCCTGTTTATCGATCCTTTTCCATAGGTTTAAATGGCAGATCAATCGATATATCGCAAAGCACGCCACGCCACTGACCAGCATCGTTTTTTCTCTTTTCCTCTCCCGCATTCGACACATTCTCTCGCGTAGATTCCTCATCCGAAAATGCGCGTATTCTGCTGCACCGGAGGCAGCACGTGCCGAAAGAAAAGTTCGAGTATAACCGCGGAATCAGAGGACAGAATAGTACAAAAATGTGACTGAGCCAGTCAAAATTTCGAACTTCCGTGATTTTTCTTTTTCGTACGAAGGAAACTCTGTGAAAACTTCAAGGAATAATGCTGATTTGTCCTTTTTTAAGAAAATAAAACGGGAGCGGAGACTTTAAAAGACCGCACTGAAAAAAAATTCTCGGCGTTTTTACCAAGGTCCGTTAGTACCTTTACCATCTTACTTTTTTTTACCAAATTTTGGTAATTTTACCAATACAGACTGGTAAGCTTACCTAAAAACCGGTATTTTTACTGTTTTTTTTTTCAGGTAAGAATACCACTTTTATTGGTAATCAATTCTCGGTAACTTTGCCATTTTATCTCGGTAATTCTACCACAGTCGATAAAAAATATTGGTGTTTTTACTAAGGTCCAGTAAAATTACCGAGAAAGTTCAATAATTTTACCGAGAAATCTCGGTGAAATTACCAATTCCATAAATGGTAATTTTACCAATAAAAAACTGGGATCAAATAGAACCCTGAATTCTTGGTAATTTTACCCTTTTCTTAGTAAATACACCGAGATTTTCTTTTCAGTGCGCAAACTAGAGTACCTGTATACCGAGAGTATGGACAGATGTGAAACTCCGAAAATTCATCAGGCCTTCACCGATGCGATGCTTCTGCGAATAAAGTTAGGGCCCAGAAATGCAGCCACCCTATGAATTTCAATTATCCAGAACGATTTACTAATACTATTTTTACGAAACGTTGTTTATAAAGCACGTATTTGACTCAATTTTTGCATAAATTTACTCATTTTTGCGGAAGAACGCTCATTTTTGTACATTCTTGGCCATCTTGGTTAGAATTGGAATTTGCAGACTCTGCAGACTGGCATTGAAATTTTGTGTGTTAGAAGTTGGTTAGAAGGATGGCTGCACTTTTGGGCCCTGAGACCTCCATGAAGCGATCTGTCCATACTCTCGCTATACAGGTACTCTACCGCAAACAAGAGACGTGGTTTGGTAGTTTCATCTTCAATGTTCTGTCTGGCTCCGTCTTTTACTACATCGGGAAATAATAGCAAATCAATGTCATAAAGATCAAGTTGTTTAATTACTTAAAAGTGAAATTACATCAATCCATAAGTAAATGAAATCAATAATTAAAAATAAAACCGGTCTACAGTTTCACCGACGAAATGAAACTCAGCAACATCCAAGAGATTGTGGTCGGTCCTTGCGCTTCAGGTCCCAATTCCATTTTGTTTTGGCGGGCATTTTAAGTTTCGGACCGTTTTTATCGCAGTTCGATCTTTCGTAAAGCATTAGACAGTGCTCAGGGCTTCCAATTTCGCGATAGCCGGCAAAATTACCTCGTAAATTCCGGCATGATTCGGTGCCCAAAAAATTTCCATCGTTCCCGATGAATTGTACCTTTTTGCCGGGCACATAGATATTTGCTGACCAGATACAATCCGCACCTGAGGAAAATCAAATCGAATGTCTTGAATTTTGGAGCCCTGTAGATTTTGATCTTCATCGAAATGGTTCTAATGAGAGATGGACTTCGTTTTGCAACAAAGTGTTATCACACGATCATGTTATCGTAAGCAAAAACAAGTTTAAACATTAGTGCATAAATGAATTAAAAATTATGTCACGATAAAAGAGTAGTAGTAGTATGTGATATGTATTTTTTACCATAAAAATAGAGGTTAAATTTTATTTTATTTTTTTTTAAGTATCAGCAAGGCTTACGGGACTGAGGTTTTATAAGGTTTCATCTGGTCTATGCAAAATTCAGGGATCAGTATTGGGTTCCTGGAGATGTTGAGCACAAGTCTAGTAATGTTACTAGACGGGTGATTCATAATGCGTATTGATTTCGTTCCCACTAGATTTCGCGAGGATCAACTACAAGCAGTGCCCTAAAAACTGCTATCCTTATTTTTTGTTTGTGTAAAATGGATCCTACTTTTACGAGGAGAGGGAGGGAGCAGTTAGAATAAAATAAATCTATTGGAGTTTTGTAAAGCTTCGAATAATAATACAAATATTTTAAGTTACCTGCAGAGATGTCAGAAACGACCAGAACTATACTCACTACGGAGATACAAAACAACGCTACTTTCATGATGGAGCAAAACGAAATTTCGCGACGAGCAGAACTTGTCGTTTAAATCGTGTTTGACGGGGTCGCAGTAATTCTATACTTTATATGAGTCGCTAATCGTGTCCTCACTATTTTGTTATCGGGTATCGCTTGCAGAATGACTTGAATATCGTGATGCATGTGATGCACGAGGTGTTTCCAGTTTATTTGACATCCTTTACAATGATATCATTTTAATGACATATTCACGATCGTTTTTTATCTTTGTCTCCAAACGTGTGCGTCACTAAGAATGCAGGTATCGAAATAAAAATTGCAACCTATAAGACAGACTGTAGTATGAGAAAAGAGATTAAGTTTAGATTGGTACTTGGGGGCTCTGCCCCCTGGCCGCTATGCGGCCCAACCCCCGGGGCGCTGCGCGGCCAGCGAAATCGTCGAAATCTCCCGTAGGCGGTTCATGAGCAAATAATTTTAATTGGAAAACAAAACAATGTTTCAAAGAAAAATTTTCCGCCAAACAATATTTTTAATGACTTTCTCCTTACTCTGAATTTTGGTTCCTTGTATAGAAGTCTACCTTGACAGGGCCACAGCCACATATAGCTGTCCAAGACTAAACAAAGGCCGAAAGTAAAGACCCACTCTATTAAAACTCTGACCTTTGGACTCCCCTTCCTCACTCCTGCCCATCGACCGTCTTACTCCCCTTCCTCGCCCCGTCCATCGAGTGTCTTTTTTTTCTTTTTTTTATCTCAGAAATGCATAATTTTACAAATACTTTACAAGTCTTATCATTTAAATATCATTCATATCATGTATTAATTCAGGATTCACTTTAATTAAGTGTTTGCGTCCCGAAACACGCCGGAATTACCAACAGGTATATCATCGGCCGGGGTTATTGTTACATTCCATCGAGTGTCTTAAAAATGATTCGTTTAGAAAAGAGAGGGTTTTCCTGTAAACTATATATCGTATCCTTCGGGTAAAAACGTAAAGTTAAAGTCCGTAGAGGATATATTGGGTTTTTAAAATGAAATTGTTATGTCGAGCAAGTTGCTAATCAAATTTTTGCAATTAAGACTGCTCACTCAGCTCAGCTCCTCGCTGGCTCATGAAAACACTGAAAATATTATTACCGCTCTTTAGCCTCTCCTCTTCCAGTGAATTGGAGGCGGCCCGGCGGCCCTTTCATAAACATCTCCGATTTACCTTTAGGTCTGCCAGTATAAAAATAAAATTTTCTGAAATTTGTATCGAATAAGTGTCACTCATATATTCTGATAGGGGAGGGTGTGGGTTCACTGAATACAGGAAGAAATTTTAGCACAAAAAAGGGAGCCAAACGCGAAATATTGATACCAATGTTTATTTTTTTTTTCATGGGAACTTCAGTTTGCTATGTCTTAGAAATCGCTCTGGTATTTTTCCTCTCTTTTTCTATGGGAACCCCAATACAATGGGATGGTCTTGAAAATCCCCAGTGTTGGTTTTTGGTTTTCAAAAGCACACCACGAAAGATTCTGCAACTTTCTCCGGAACAATTAGTTCTAGTGAACAGCAGTGTTGCGCAAGCACTACAGGTTGTTTTATTTTATTTTATTTTTTATTAATTTTTTATTTTTAGTTAACCCGGTTCCCAACGTATGAGGATGATCAGTTTTTGAACAATTACTATAAAAGAGAATTGGACGCTGTCCCTCGACGAGATTACCAATTCTGGCTTTTGATGGAAGAGCTGTACAATTTCACGTAAGTTGACAGTGAGACACAGTGGTTATCGCCCAGTTCACGGCGGTTTGAAGTGGACCACGTTCAACAGAAAGGAACCAAACCACATCATCTAAAGCCAAATTTAACTGGGAAATTTTATTTTTTACAAGAGAAAATTTTTGCGGATTCCTTTGAAAATTTTGCTGAATTTGCTTCGTGCTGTGCATAAAATTCCCTGAAATATGCACAGAAATCCGCACAACCGTTTTCTTGTAATAAAGTAAATTACCCAATTAACTTTGGCAATAGTTGATGTGGCTTGGTTCCTTTCTGTTTAACGCTATAAGTTCACAATTCCTTCTAATTAATTCTAATTAAACATTGTTAACCTTTTCCCCCAGTTTTTTTTTATAAAAACTTGAATAAAACTGAAGTCGTCACTGGTCTGGTCAAATCTGAAAGTTTCCCTTCATTCTTCCAGGGATACATGGTATACCACCCAAACTTTTGCTAAATCATCAGCGTCTTGTCAGCGGGTCGCTTATAAATTATACGCCAAGCTGGAATTCGGAACTAATTTTGAATTCCTATTCCTTTGATATACACCATTGCACATGTTACGCAGGTCTGGAACTACTCCCGAATCGCGTCCTCCTCGATAGGAGGTATTTTTCCGAAACGGAACTATGTGCATTAAGACATGAGCCCTGAGACCTTTAAGAATATATGCATAACAGAGCTCACGTTGTAATACACATAGTTCCGATTGGTAGAAATACGTCCAATAATCCCCCCTCTCCCCCGGAGTATGCGAATAATGGTGTACTTGTCAACATTTTTGCCATATGTACGTATCTAATTTGTAGAAAACCAGCATTCAGCATCGATTTTTAACAGTGGCGCGGCGTGCTTTGCGATCTATCGATATTTCCCCATTTGAAGCTGTGGTAAATAATCTATTCTTACGGTGTTCGCTGCCAACACCCTGTTTATCGATACTTTTACATAGGTTTAAAAGGCCGATCAATCGATATATCGCAAAGCACGCCGCGCCACTGATTTTTAAGTGAGACCACGCACGGCTAAACACCCTTTCCTCCCCTGAACGCTTCATTCCTCTCTCTCTCTCTCTCTGTGATGTTTGACATTATCCATGAAAATCAGATTCTTTTCAACTTAGCATAATACGCAAATGATGATCTTAGAATAATAAATTGTGAATGGATTTGAAATCATTTTTCTTAAAAAATTGCAAGATTCAAGAAAAATTGGCACCTATTAGTTTCTATAAAAAAAGGAAGAAAAAAAAACACCCCAATTATTTTTCACCTTATTCGTAGCGTCCAAGTACTACGAGTATGATTTCATTTTCTAATATGGTTTTCTCGTATGGCCTCAGCTGAAATATCTTCTAAAAGTTTCGTTCTCGGCTTCAGTCTCATGAGTTTAGTCTTGAAATTGGACCGAGTTTATCAGAAAGGAAGTAACCCACATTTTCGAAAAAATTGAGTTAAGAATGTTTTCGAGTTTCACTAGCCGTATATTTTCTTCTGCCGAAAACTGAATGTCGGAAAACAAAAATTAGCTCATGTGATAANCGGATTCCTTTGAAAATTTTGCTGAATTTGCTTCGTGGTATGCAGAAAATTCTCTGAAATTTGCACAAAAATCCGCACAACCGTTTTCTTGTAAAAAAGTAAATTACCCAATTAAGTTTGGCAATAGTTGATGTGGCTTGGTTCCTCTCTGCTTAACGCTATAAGTTCACCATTTCTTCTTATTAATTCTAATTAAACATTGTTACCCTTTTCCCCAGTTTTTTTTTATAAAAACTTGAATAAAACTGAAGTCGTCACTGGTCCGGTCAAATCTGAAAGTTTCCCTTCATTCTTCCAGGGATGCATGGTATACCTACCACCCAAACTTTTGCTAAATCATCAGCGTCTTGTCAATGGGTCGCTTATAAATTACGCCAAGCTGGAATTCGGAACTAATTTTGAATTCCTCTTCCTTTGATATACACCATTGCACATGTTATGCAGGTCTGGAACTACTCCCGAGTCGCGTCCTCTTCAATAGGAGGTATTTCTGCGAGACGGAACTATGTGCATTAAGACATGAGCCCTGAGACCCTTAAGAATATATGCATAACGGAGCTCACGTTGTAATGCACATAGTTCCGATTGGTAGAAATACGTCCAATAATCCTCCCTCTCCCCCGGAGTATATGCGAAAATGGTGAACTTGTCAACATTTTTGCCATATGTACCTATCTAATTTGTAGAAAACCAGCATTCAGCATCGATTTTTAACAGTGGCGTGGCGTGCTTTGGGATCTATTGATATTTCCCCATTTGAAGCTGTGGTAAATAATCGATTCTTAAGGTGTTCGCCGCAAACACCCTGTTTATCGATACTGTTACATAGGTTTAAAAGGCCGATCAATGATATATCGCAAAGCACGCCACGCCACTGATTTTTAAGTGAGACCACGCAAGGCTAAACACCCTTTCCTCCCCTGAACGCTTCATTCCTCTCTCCCTGTGATGTTTGACATGATCCATGAAAATCAGATTCTTTTCAACTTAGCATAATACGCAAATGATGATCTTAAGAAAATAAATTGTGAATGGATTTGAAATCATTTTTCTTAAAAAATTGCAAGATTCAAGAAAAATTGTCACCTATTAGTTTCTATAAAAAAAGGAAGAAAAAAAAACACCCTAATTATTTTTCACCTTATTCGTAGCGTCCAAGTACTACGAGTATGATTTCATTTTCTAATATGATTTTCTCGTATGGCCTCAGCTGAAATATCTTCTAAAAGTTTAGTTCTCGGCTCCAATCTCAAGAGCTTAGTCTTGAAAGGAAGTACCTAACCCACATTTTCGAAAAAATTGAGTTAAGAATGTTTTCGAGTTTCACTAGCCGTATATTCTCTTCTGCCAAAAACTGAAAGTCGGAAAACAAAAATTAGCTCATGTGATAAGAGGCGGGTCATAGTTTATTTTCTACATTGAGCCTTATGCAGGAATAGAACTTCAAAATCCTTTCAAAGTATTTTCGTGAAATCCCTCTCTGTTTGATGATATTACCTTTCTCCCGATCACTTTTTATCCGATTTTAGACGATAGCTATTTCGACGGGTGCACCCACGAGTATTTTAAAAGTGTTTTTTAGTAAATTTGAGTAAATTTTAGTAAAATTTTAATAATATACGATGTGACTTTTAGTGTTTACCAAATCGAAGTCGAAGTGACCTGATGATGATGATTAACATCGAAATAGCTATCGTCTAAAATCGGATAAAAAGTGATCGGGAGAAACGTAATATCATCAAACATAATGCAGCCCGATAAAAAGAAGTTCAACTTTAAATCCCTCTCTTTTTCAAACGAATTAATCTCCAAATTTAGTGTATTCTTTCCTTGTCCTAACTTTTAACTTTGTGCTACCTTTTGTGACCCCTACTTTTTAAATTTTTAAATTATTTTGATCTCTCCTCTAAGGTGTTAATGGCTCAATTGTTAAAAGCACCAAATAAACGTATCTACCAACCAACCATTCATAACATACATACCATACATACATATTAGTCATTTTATAGCACTGCCTGGCGCTCTACGACACCTGTAACCTCCACTGCCCCCTATACACAGAAATCCTGTACTCCTGGCACATAGCCACAGAATAACATACTCTGAATTACTAACATATACTCTCTTCATTCAATGATGTTCATCTGACAACGTATGTAGGTCAAGTGTAGTAACGACTGAACTTTTTGGTTCTGTGGTAAATGGAACATTTGACGGTTTGATCGGCAAAGTTCAGAGTGGAGAGGTGGACGTTGGTATGTCAACCGTATTTCAAACAATCGAACGGATGGAAGCAGTCAGTTTTGTGCACGTCCATATTGGCTACAGCAATTTTAGGTGAGAAACTCTACAGGGTGATCCAAAAGTCCCTTCCACCCCCTCTAACTTTTTACCTAATTGAGGTAAAGATTTGAAACTTGGGGGATATTCCTAGGTCAAAGGGAGCTACTTTTTGGCCCCCCTAAAATTTTCAGGGGGGCTCCCCTTGGGGGGGCAACGGCCCCCAACTTTTAATTTTCAAATGGGAAGACCCCCTTTGTGATAGCTCGTTCGAAAGAGCATAAAAAAAGAAAACTTTTCGCGCAAACCCGAAGTCAATAACTCAAACCGTTTCAAAATGGCGGCCGGTTAAAGTTCAAAATGGCCGAAAATTCACACCGGTTATTTGTCGATGGATTTGCGCGAAAATCGGTATGTACGGGTATTTTGACACGAGAAAAACGAATTTGACGTTAGATTTTCAAAAAAACCGAAATTTCCAAAATGGCCGCCGGTTAAAGTTCAAAATGACAAAAAATTGATTTTTTTAGAAATCTAAGTTCAAATTTGTTTATCTTATGCCAAAATACTCTCAAATTCCAAGTTTAAGGCAAATCCATCAGCAAAAAACCGAGGTGACAATTTTCGGCCATTTTAAACTTTAACCGGCGGCCATTTTGGAAATTTCGGTTTTTTTGAAAATCTAACGTCAAATTCGTTTTTCTCGTGTCAAAATACCCCTACATACCGATTTTCGCGCAAATCCATCGACAAATAACCGGTGTGAATTTTCGGCCATTTTGAACTTTAACCGGCCGCCATTTTGAAACGGTTTGAGATATTGACTTCGGGTTTGCGCGAAAAGTTTTCTTTTTTTATGCTCTTTCGAACGAGCTATCACAAAGGGGGTCTTCCCATTTGAAAATTAAAAGTTGGGGGCCGTTGCCCCCCCAAGGGGGGCCCCCCTGAAAATTTTAGGGGGGCCAAAAAGTAGCTCCCTTTGACCTAGGAATATCCCCCAAGTTTCAAATCTTTACCTCAATTAGGTAAAAAGTTAGAGGGGGTGGAAGGGACTTTTGGATCACCCTGTATTATCGGGTTAATTGGACGTATTTCTGTGAAACGGACTATGTGTATTAAGACAAGAGCCCTGAGACCCATAAGAGTATATGCATAACAGGGTTCACGTCATAATGCACATAGTTCCATTTGACAGAAATACGTCCAATAGTTTACGGCAAATGGACCGAGTTTAACAGATACGCTTTAAATAGTGTCATGTTTGAACCGAGCTTAAGGAGGTTTAAAGTTTCATTCGTTCATACGAGACTTAATGTTGTAAACAAAATTGAACAGCTATTTTCACATGGAAAATATCTCCTCGACTTCGAATTTTAGCAAGAGAAAATTAATGGCTGCATGTTTAAATTCAAAACTACAGCTAATACATTCTTGTTCATTTTGTAACTTGCATTCCTTATAGCTTGTTCTAAATTATAAAGTTCTAATGGCACCTCTTAGATCGGCAAAATACAATAAGACCTGTATGGAAAACGTTAAATTTCTGCTTTTTAAGAAAACAAATAAGAAAATAATAGGAGGTGGATGATTAAAATGCGATGTCTTGTTCTTTGGTCCCATTATAATAATGGACGACGAGGCGTCAATCAGGGCCGGATTAGGGCCGGATTAAGGACATGGGCCGCGGCCCATGACGGCAAATCTAGGGGGCGGCAAAATTTGCAATTTTTTAAATGTTGGTATAAAAAAAATCGGATTTAGAAAAAAAAATTATAAACGAGAAGAGGCTACAAAATCGCTCATTTCCTGAGAGTATAGTAATTTCTAATTTTGTCGTCTTTCAGTGATACAAGAGACAGCACCTTTAATAATAATTAGTCGAGTTAAGAGAGAAACCAAACACGCAATTTGGCCTGGAACGGCGCGACTTAGGGAGAAATGGACGGAGTTAAACAGAAAGGAACCAAGCCACATCGAGATCGAACCGAGAAAAAGAGGCTTAAAGTTTAGCTCCTGCACAAGACTCAATGTAAAAGATAAACNAAACCAAACACGCAATTTGGCCTGGAACGGCGCGACTTAGGGAGAAATGATGAGGAGGACTTGAGATGAAAAGGAGAAGCCCTCGGCGCGGCAATCGGCATGTAACTCATATTGGCGCCTACAAGACTGCACGAATACTTTAAGCATTGCATCAAACATAGTGCGGTCATTGTGGTCAGCGTGAAACGGATAGCGCCTACAATAATGCATGAATATTTCACGCATTGCGCCAAACACAGTGCGGTCAGCGTGAAACGCGTAGCGCCTACAAGACTGCGTGAATACTTCACGCATTGCGCCAAACACGGTGCGGTCTGCGCGGCGCGGCGGCGGAAGTTAAAATCATTAATCCAAATTTTGTGTTTGTTCTTTCATAATTTTTTCGTTCATTTCTTATGAATGGAAGGCCTTGTCCATTAGAGACAGGTTTTTGACTTTCGCGCAAAGTTCCGTGACCTTTTGCTAGTAGTGTTGACAGGGCTTTCCCAAAAAATGTGTTCAACACGAGTAAACGCGTCTTACGCACCCCTCCACCGCTGGCACGTTCACTTGATGGTTTTTATTGATGCTTCAAAACGAATAAGAAGGGGGCGGCAAAATATAGGCGGCCCATAGGCGGCAAGTAGGAAAATCCGGCCCTGGCGTCAATGAAACTTTTCGTCTTCGCAGATAGGTGAGATCAAAGTGGGAGAAACCAAAGATAACACGAACGTGCACGAAAACGCTGATAACGCTATTCACTGTAATTTTTCTACGGGATTTCTCGTCAAAATTAGACGCTGACTTGCCATCTTGTTATACCGTCTTATTTTCTTTCTTCTATTTTAAGACGCACTGTGAAAACACAATTCTGTGGCTTCTGTGGCGTTTTTCCTTTTTTTTCACGAAAATATTATTCGGGTGAGAACTCAGCTTAATCTCTTTTCTTGGATTGCTGTACAAAACTTGACTATGAACACTCCGCATTTGTGGGCCCAATAACGGAATATTATTAGAAGTCCATTGGAAGTGCGTTAAAAAATTATTTTCCGATTTCCGAGACTCCAAATTTTTAGTTTTCTATAATTTCCAACGAAAAGCCTCTGAGCCTTCCTGTAGGAATCCTCCATTTAGACCTATGCTAAATAATCGATTTTTTTCGGAGCACCTGGCCCCTCCAAGAATCGATACATTTCTGTAGGTTTAAACGGAAGATAGACAATGTTGCCAATTTCCTGGATCCGCCAATGGTTTTCTGGGGCACCAGCGGAACAGCCCAAGTCGAATAATAAATCCACCGAAACATTAGGGGTATTTATATTTGTAACGTGTTATTAAAAACACTCTTCTTTCATTTTCTCAGGCCCGTTTTTATATTTTTGCGACCGAAGGACAAGCATGATATTTGGGATTTGACCGAGTCCTTCACAGGTCAATTATGGTTTGCCACTGGTGTTCTGCTTTTATGCTTCATCGCTGTTTTCCATTGGTCATCCTGTTTACACGACGACACGCAGAATGAACGCAGCTCATTGCTTTTTATTGTTGCTGTCATGTCTCAAAGAGGTATTTTTTTAAGAAAAGGCAGAATTACAATTTTCATTCTTAATTTATTCGTTTTCTTTTAAAAATATATTACAGTACCTCAATTTATTTAAACCCTCAGTAATCTTGATTTTTTTATAAAAAATTATCGGGGCCCATTCATAAAATACGTTACACACCGGTGGGAGGGGGGGGAGGTCGCGGATAGCGTTACGCTATTCTAGGTGGCGGTAGCCACCCCGGCCCAATCCTAAAAAACTCCCCCTAAAAAATGACGAGACCAAATGAAAAAAAAAAAAAACCGACGGGTGGCTGCTGCCTAACTAGTTATACACGAAACACCTCGACCGGGCTTTTATTAATAAACAGAGACCTCCGTCACAACAGCCTTTCGAAGGGGAGAGGGGAAAGGTCAAAAAATACCAAATTTAGCGTCACGTATTTTATGAATGGCCCTTGATGCATGGCTGGAGAAATAGGTATTTCTCTACCCGCCGGTTCTTATTTCACAGGGTTCTTCTGTTATTGAAACGTATTCTCAAAACATCATTCATCTGTAGAAAAAATAAGAAGAAAGAAACTAGCGCAAAACCTAAATCAAACTGTAATTGGATCGCATTTGGCAAAAAGGAACCAGCGCGATTACCGTGTTTTCAACATCGTGCAATTTCTTCTTTTCTTTTAAAAATACTTAATAATATGTTCGGTATTCAAATTTACACGATTATTTTTCTTTAAAATTAACAATTTTTTGGTGGGAGGAAAACACTTGTTGCCATTCTGGGAGATTTTTTAGATAATTGTGAAGAAGGAAAATTTTGACAACACTGTAATCACGCTGGTTCCTTTTTGCTGAGTGTGATCCAATTATAAGTTGCAGAATTTTTAATTTGTTTTGCTCTTCAATTTTTTCTTCCTCGAAGAGATACCAGCCGACTTCATAGGATTAACAATTTTAAAGAATATTTTTGTACGTTTGTACAGTTCTCAACACACTCCTGGTTGGGAGGTGTTAGACGCGATCCCTTATCATTTTTTGGCGCGGAAATTGTAAAGGACACTGGAAAAAAGCACAGTGGATCTAGAGTCCAGACTCTTGAAAACATTGACAAGAAAAAGGACTCTTGATTCAATCAGATTTAAGCTTAAATCAAAAGGAAATCCGCTCAAATTAAGAGGCTTGGTTCTTGATTTAAGCTTAAATCTGATTGAATAAGAGTATTTTTTCTTGTCGATGTTTTTAAGAGTCTGGACACTAGATCCAATGCGTTTTTTTCCAGTGGAGGGGATAGTAAACGCACAACAGCAATCATTGCCTTAAGCTCCCCGATTTTCAAAATTATAATTTTCCTGTCATGTTTTATCTCGAATTTTTTCGCACGTTCGTTTTCATGATTATAGTTCGACAGGCAATTCTCTTTTCAAATTTTCGAATTGTGATTCAGGTTTTTTTTTGTTGCTACGGAGTTTCCGTCACGCATTTGGCCGCGTTACCAGTGGCGTGGCGTGCTTTGCGATATATCGATTGTTATGCCATTTAAACCTATAGAAAAGGATCGATCAATAGGGTGTTCGCAGCGAACACCTTAATAATCGATTCTTTACCATTAGTTTAAATGGCAGAACAATCGATACATCGCAATTCACGCCACGCCACTGCGCGTTACGGGCAAGATGGACCGGGACGCGGAGCCCCTGTTTCATTGATAACTCTGTCGATCCAGATTAGTGTTTGCAAACACGTATTTCATCGGGTAATCCGGGATAATCCGTGCCGTTTCGGGTGGGCAATTATTACTTTTGCACACGATTTCCGCATGGCGCGTGGACAATCTGCATTTCCTTAAAATACTACCGAGTGCATTTTAGCGGTGACGTTGTCAGTTCGTCTTATCAAAAAAACTCAATGATACGAGCGACGCAGGCTGAGGGTTAAATTCAGTCTAACATCTCAAGTAACAGGTTACAAAATGAAAAAATAATTTCCTTCTTCTCTTTGCCAAAGCATAAACTTCGCTACATTGTGTAAGTAAATGTGTCAATTTTTTTTTGATCTCATTCATAAATTTAATTAGTTGTGTTTGTCAAAGGTACACTTTATGAGTAAATTGTGTGGTGTATTTTTTTTTATTTTTTTTATTTTTATTTATTTTATTTTTATTTTTTTTTATTTTTAATAAATAAAGTTAAATAGAGAAACCCGTTTTATTCTCACTGCATCAAGAAGAAGATCCGTTGCGCATCTTGAGGCTAGGTAGGAACTTAGTTTTGAAAACCAACATTTTCTTTTAAGAGTTAATTTTTTTTAAATTTTTGAATAGAAAAATCGCGTTGCGAAAAAGAAAAGATTGTTATCGTACCTGAGATTTTTACTTGGCGAAATTAATAGCTCTCTTGACGCGCCGAGCATTTTTCTTAGAGCACTGTGAAACGGCCGAAAAATACGTGTTTTTTTGTTTTAAGGAATCTGATTTTTCTTACTGTGAAGGTTTGAGAAAATGCAAAGGGGCCGCTTGTTGTGCATCAGGTGTCTTTAAAATTTTTCCAAATAAAGAAGAAAAATGCAGGAAACTTCCGAACTTTGAGTGATGAGCCACGCAGCGATCTGACTGCACTTGCTCGAAAAATAACCATTTTTCTTGATGTATCTTTGTAAGAACCCATTTGCACGAGGGATTTGAATGTATATTTATCGGTTTTAAAGCCCATAAGAATAAGAATTAGTGGGCGCAGATTTTGGAGCAGTAATGATAAATACCACAATTACCACAGTCATTTGACTTTGATGAGCTTTTTTTGCCTACTCCGTCCGTCTGTCGATTGAAAGCGAATTAGAAAAGCTCTAATAACCGCCGCAAATCGTTTCCTCGCTGCTGCTGGTAAGCTAACGAAGTGAGCCGGATACCACTATTCGCACACGTAGGAATGCATTTTGCCTATTGAATCAAATGAAGGCGACAGAATTAGGTGAAATCCTCTTAAGCTCACTGTAGAAGAATATGAAGAGGACGCCTGTGATGCGGTGATATAGATGTCAAAGCATTTTGTCTGCTCGCCCGGAGGTAGAAACCATTCGTCTTTTGGCAACGCGATAAATTTGCGATTTAAAATGCGTGTTATAAAGGAGTTGATGTAAGACATTTTCATATCTTGCCGTGATTTTCGTGCGCTTTTACCAATGTAGTTTTCTTACTAAGTCGACCGTACCTCTTACTTGCATCGGACTTATTCAACCCATTTGCTTCCAGATTAGCTAAAAACTGTCATTAACTCAATAATATTTAAAAATGTAACTTGGGCTCTGAACGTCCTCTAACTTGCAGAAAAAAGCATTTAATGTTTTCATTGCTGACTCGAGTAGAACGCAAGTTGCGGGATCTCTCCCAGAAACGACTGATTCCCTCGAGGAGGATGGACGAGCAAAGTGATGATGTCATATACTACCACCAGTTGTTGGCCAGTAGTCTCATTGTTTTTTGCACCAATGAACTGACCGGTCAGATTTATACATATTAAGGTGATTCGATGGACGCCATATTTTGTGTCAGAACGGCATGCGATATATCGCATCAATTAGTTCCATTTTTTCAGCTACTCGTCATTTATCTCCAATTTTGAGATCGCAATTTTGGTGTCAGGAGACTAAAGCACTCACTTACCAATTTAAACAAAGAAATTCAACGTAATAAAGCCGTGGTTTTTTTCTAGAGAGAAAACATCGCATTCGATACTGATCTCGAAACTGCACTCGAATACGATATTTTCTCTCTAAAAAAAACCACGCCTTTATTACGTTGAATTTCTTTGTTAAAATTGGTAAATGAGTGCTCTAGTCTCCTGACAACAGAATTGTGATTTCAAAATTGGAGAAAAATGACGAGTAGCTGAAAAAATGGAACCAATTGATGCGATATATCGCATGCCGTTCACACAAAATATGGCGTCCATCGAATCACCTTTAAATCGTTATATCAGTCTATTTAGAGTCTGATTTGAGGTATAAACGTTGAAGCGTTTCCGGTGCGATCGAAGGATTGCAAGTCTGACAGCGACGAATCCGTTCATTAGCTACGCTTGCGTATACACTCGAGTTAGTCAGTTGTTTTTAAAAATCATCCTGTCCGAGGAAGAGTGACTAGCGGATGGGCAGGTCAAGAGAAGGTGGATTTTCTCCTGATTGGAAGCAGGACTCAAGAAAAGAGCCTCTGTGGAAACAGAGATATGGGCAGTAAAAACAGGTTATCATAAGGAGATAGCAATACCATTAATCGTTGGCCAATGTGGAAAACCACGTATTTCCACTGCAGAGTTTCAAAATTTCCGTTCCTATTTTGATGTTTTGCAAGAAACAAGACAACCTCATGGTTTGAAATTCATACAGAGTATTCTGCTGATAGAGAAAAAAAATCAGGAGGTTTCCAAGATAGTAAATTGACTAGATGGATTGCATTTTGCAAAATAGAACCAAGAGCTATCCAATGTTGCTAAGATCGTGCGACTTACATTCTTTGCAATGGAATTACTGAAATCATGCATACAAAAAATTAAATTTACAAAGGTAAATTTCATCATCTTGAAATTATAGTTTGTTGGGAGTAAAGATGCTTAGGGCAACTGAGATGGACTTTTGGCGGAGGTCTGCTGGCATCTCAAGAAGAGAGCGTATCCGCAATGAAAAAGTACGCGAGATCATGGGTGTGGAGAAGGACATCGTGCACGATATCAGGTCCAAGCAGTTGGTCTGGTATGGACATGTGCGAAGGATGGCAGACGACCGGTTGCCCAAGCAGGTCTTCGATTGGGTTCCTCCCGGAAGGCGACGGCGTGGACGTCCTGTGAAAGGTAGGCGACAAGGGGTGGAGGAGGAGATCAAAAGGTGCCAATTGCCTGATGATCTCTGGAAGGATAGGGGGCAATGGCGATTGGGCGTCGCAGAGCGCGAGGCGGCGTTGTAAAAGCGACTTTATGTATGTATGTATGGGAGTAAAGATAAAACTTTTCAGATGATCAGCTTATATTTGCAACGTAAAAAAAGTTCCACAATTCTCGCAATATTGGAATTCTCTTGGTTCCTTTTGGCTAAATGCAATCCAGTTTATTCCGAGGCAGAAATTAATTGTGATCGAAAGTCTGCAGCGTTGCAAATGGAGATACGCGATTCCGCACTTTGACTATCAAAATGTGTGTACAGGGTAACATTTTCATCAATATTATCAATATTATTGAGCGACTTCACTTGCCGTCCAATGTGTGATATTGCGTTATGTTTTTTTCGCAGGGCCTCCTTTCAATGTTTTGTGTCTCTCTGGGCGTGTGTTGACTTTGAGCGCACTAATTTTCGGCTACCTTCTGTTCACTTATTTCAGCTCCGCTATCATAGTCAAACTTCTGTCTCCACCCAAGAAAATCGACTATGATTTGGAGTTCTTAGTTGAAAGTGACCTGAGTGTTGGTGTAGAGAATGTCAGTTACTACTACTTCTACTTCACGGTTAGTCAGTCGTGTAAAATCCTTTAACATTAGATAATCACCCTCTCTCTCCCCGCAAACATCAAAATATCAATGGTCAAAGTGTAGACGTATCTCTTGCTTTTTGCTTGATTAAAGAATACGGTCATCATAACGGAAGTTTAAGTAAAAGTATGATTTACAGTTTTTAACACGAAATGTTGCTTTTTTTGAGATTGTACCTGACGCACAGTTTTTCATGTTGCTCTGAATCTTATATCATGAGGAAAAATTTCTAAAATATTATTTGGATTGCATTTTGCAAAAAGGAACCACTAGCATTGCAATGTTGCTAAGATTGTGCAACTTCTTTTGTCTTAGAGAAAAAACCCGATAATCCATTATTAGTTCCTATTCTACTCGCTAAAAACTGTGAATTTAAGACAAAAATGATCATCTAAATCTCATAGTTTTTCACGATTTCCGCAATTTTATCGCAAAGGATGAAGTTGCACAATCTTAGCATCATTGCAATGCTAGTGGTTCCTTTTTGCAAAATGCAATCCATTTGCAAATGATTTTTAGTGAGTAAATACAAGAGGAGGCCGAAATAAAAATTGAAATCTTAATTTGTCTGTACCATTCACGTAGTAACTGTGCTATGAAATCCCGGTATCAATATGGTGTTCGAAAAGGTGTACTCTAAAAATCTTATTCGATTTTCCAGAGGTACCCTTTCATGATCTTACGGGAAATATATAAAGAAAAGATGAAATCAAAGGCGGCTTTCATACCAATGGAGGAAGGACTTGCCAAAGTTCGGAGTGACCAGTATGCATTCGGTGGTGACATGCGGATTTTGTTTGCAGCGGCTGAGAAAATGTTCACCGACAACGAGAAGTGTTCTTTGGAAGCCATTGACATGATCGCCGTCAATATACCTCGCAGTATCGCCATTCCAAAAAACTCTCCGTACGATGAGATGTTATCTGCAGGGTAGATCACTATTTAAAAAAAAAGTATTTTAGTCTTACATACCAGATATGCTACTTCGTTGCTACATATTTCGAGAGAAAGAGGTACCATGAGGCCTTACAGTGCGCTAATACCATAGCGCCAAATAGTGAAATTGTTTTCATAGATTTTGAAAAAGTCTTGAAAACTCATAAGAAGGTGCAGTATGTCAGGTAATAACACATGAAATCTAATCGGAAAATAATTTGAAGGTAACACAAGGATGAAAGTATACATATGAAGTCGCTCCTACCACGCACTCTGGCGTTCTGCGACACCCAAACGCCACATATTCCTGTCCTCCTAGAGGTTATCGGGGATGGGAGTAACGTAATGATAGCTGTACTACATTTTGCAATCAGGAAATACAGTTTTTAACTCATCCTCATGAACACTTACGTGCATACGAGAAGTAATAGTGCATACGTTGTTTCTAAACTGAGCCAAAAATTGTAGTTATCCTAAAATTGCAAAATGTGGTCCATTTAAGACTGAAAGAGGTTCTGCCTGAAATCAGACATTATAATTTTAAACCCTACGTTCCGTCCATTTACAAACAGGGTGATCCAAAAGTCCTGTGGTATCATCACTGGATATCTCCTCTGTAACTGTTGAACAAAGTGAAATAGAGACTTGAAATTTTGGATCAAGGAAACTACATTTGTGACCTGCTCCTAAAAAAAATGAAGTGGGAGAGTTATCCTGAGAGAGGACAAGAACCCTACATTTTTTTTTTTTTCTTTCTTTTTTTTTTTAAAAAAAACCCAACTTTGCACCGATTTCAATTTCAATCCAACGTCAGGTGTGACTTGATTCCTCCTCTCCCCATCGTTAGATACGAGTCGGGCAGTGGCGAGGCGTGCATGATCGATTATCGATATTTCTCCATTTGAAGCTTTGGTAAAGAATCGATGTTTAAGGTGTTCGTTGCGAACACCCTGTTTATCGATCCTTTTCCGTAGGTTCAAATGGCAGATCAATCGATATATCGCAAATCGAGCCACGTCACTGCCCGACGCGTATCTAACGATGGGGAGAGGAGAGATTGAGTCAAACCTGAGATTAAGTCACCCTTCGAACTTCGTCGTCCTCATTTATAATGCTATATTATGTCGCCGCTGCGGGCTGACCGTTGAAATTGATAGACAAAACGATAGAAAAAGAGGACATAATTAGTATGGAGCGATCCTATTGGTTAATTCGGGTGGTTCATATAGACTATATATGGGGGTAAATGCTGGATTAACTACAGAGTCTCTAGTACGTTAGTTAGTCTATTACCTACCTCCTCTTTGTCCATTGCAACCACCTGCTACCACCAATAGGATCCCTCCATATCTTATCTGTCTTCTTTGTCTATAGCTTCGTCTATCAATTTCAATAATCAGCCCGCTGAGCTCACAGCGTGCTAAAGCAATGACAAAAATCGTTGGCAGGTATTTACTTTTCATGGAGCGAGGGATCACTCATCGGCTGGATCGTATTTGGAGTTTTGGAAAACCGGCCTGTTTGGAGAGGGACTTCGTCCCGGTCGAGCTTCACGACATTTTATTCGCCTTCGTCGCTCTTGCGTTTGGATTCGTGGTCGCCCTCTCTTCTTTACTCGTGGAGTTTTCGTGGAAGAAGAAAATTCCGCTCGATGTTCCTTCCTGGAGAAAAGCAAGACGCAATGGTCACAGCCACCCTGATCCGGAAAGAGGAAATTACCTTCTTCCCACGCGCCGTAGAGATAGAGCTTTCTAAGCTGTGTTGGTTCGGTACCATGCAATATTGCCATATGTTTATTGCAATATTGCATGTCGCCATATTGGACAGTGACGTGGCGTAATCTGCGATACATCGATTGAAATGCCGTTTAAACCTATGGAAAAGGATCGATAAACAGGGGGTTTGCAATGAACACCTTGATAATCGATTCTTTACCATACCTTCAAATTGAGAAATATCAATAATCGATCATTCACGACTCGCCACTGATTGGAATTTTGTACTAATTTTGAAATATTTGTTGCTAACCTAATTTTTAACGTTTCCATAGGAAACAGAAAAAGTAAGAATAAAAATATTACCAAAATACTGTAATTTTTATCGAAGTTCACTTTTATGTATTTGTTTCCCTATTTATTTTATGCATGTACTATTGTTTCTTTCTGGCTTTGATTTCCTCTTAGAACAGTGTTGGTCCAGCGCTTTGTTACGATCCTGCTATTGAATAAAAAAATTGGGTTGATATTTTAATGACAATCTATCTGCACTTGCATACCTATCTATTCGTACTCGGTTGACATAACTCCGGTAAAAGCCGGTTTTTTACGCAGTTACCTTATAATCAGAAGTCCAAGTGAAATGCTTGTCTAATCCCGAAAATATTATTTTCATGAACATTTCTTATTTGAGAAAGAAAGGAGAAGACGTGACATGAGAAATTTTGGCACTCCATGCAATTGCTAACCTTTTGTGTTTCTCGCGACAGGCTTAGTGGCGTATCAATAGCCAAGCAAGGAGAAGATGCTTCAGATTGAAAACATGCAAGTAGCATGCAAACATGCAATCAGTTTTTGACTAAGTATAATGCGGAGTTTAAATTGATCGAAGCCGAAGAGAGGAGATTAGATTCTACTCGCTTAGCTCCAAGCTCCATGTGTTGTCATATATTTTGCTGGTGTCTAGTGCCCCCTCAATTTTATACCTCACTATGGTCTTACTTATACGTTTTTCTTTACCGTCACCGTAAATGCGTTCAGCTTTAAGAATTTGCTTGTGCTGAACTGCACGAGCGATCGAATCGGCAAGACAACAAATTGGAGGATTCACTTTAGAGACTTTAACGCAAGGGCAGAAAAGTAGGCGTAACGAAAACCGTGAGTTGCTTGACGCAAGAAGAAGTCATTATTTGAAAATTTGCTCTTGCTGAGACACACGAGAGATCGCCAAGACGGTAAAATGCAGGAATCACTTTAGAGACTTTAACGCAAGGGCAGCAAAGTAAGCATAACGATAATTGCGGGCTGCTGCTCGAAAATTTGGAGGTTATATAAGTTTGATCAGGTCATGTAGCTCTTAGGGCTCGAAAAGGCGCCCAACCTATGAACCCGAACTATCCAGTGGTACTAATTCAAACTCCGAGAGTAGGTACACTGTTCAATAATTATAAAAGCTCGTCTAAAATTTTAATTTCGTAAACATTTTCTTAGTTTCAAAGTTTTAATCCTTAAAAACGCTTTTTTAAAATGCGCTGTCAGCCCAATTGATTAACCTTTCAAATGCATATAGGTTGGCAGCGGCACTTTTCTAGTGACTTTCGTTTTTCACGTTGTCGCCCTTTTGGGCCCTAAAAGCTACATAAATCGAGTTGTCCATACTCTCCGTATAATGGTACTCCAGTTATTATATAAGTTTTAGTGCACTGGAAAAAAAAACACATTGGATCTAGAGTCCAGACTCTTGAAAACATCGACAAGAAAAAATACTCTTGATTCAATCGGATTTTTGCTTGGATCAAAACGAAATCCGCTTAAATTAAGAGGCTTGGTTCTTGATTTAAGCTAGATTCTGATGGAATCAAGAGTACTTTTTCATGTCGATGTTATTATGAGTCTGGACTCTAGATCCAATGTGTTTTTTTTTCCAGTGTGTTTTATCCGATCTTTAGTGTTGAGTTTCGTTTAAGGTGATTCGTCAAGCTCAAGTGACGTGGTCGAACTGGCTTGCGATATATCGCATCTGTTAGGTCAAAAATCTCGGCAGATTTTGAATTTTCAGTAAAAAAAAAGGACGATAGCCCCTGCGCATGAGCCTAGAGAATCATTCTAAACCCAAAAATCGGCAAAATTCAGAGAAATGAAAGCAGGATATTGTTTGGAAAACAAACCTCGCATTCGATTCAGCTATCGATTTCGGTATCAAATGCGAGGATTTTTTCCAAACACTATCCTGCTTTCATTTCTCTGAATTTTGCCGATTTTTGGGTTTAGAATGATTCTTCAGGCTCATGCGCAGGGGCTATCGTCCTTTTTTTTGCTGAAAATTCAAAATCTGCCGAGATTTTTGACCTAACAGATGCGATATATCGCAAGCCAGTTCGACCACGTCACTTGAGCTTGACGAATCACCTTAAACTGTGTATATGCAGTTTGAATCCCGAATGCATCCGTCAAGTTCAAACACCAAGTACAAGCGCACCAGCTCAACGCTCAAAGCCTCAGCGGTCATCGGATGGAGCTATTTCCACCGGTTGCAGCATCGCCTCCTTTTCCTTTTCCTCCTCGCATGGCGTCCGCCGCTGGGTTTTCGGCGGCCCGAAACCGGGGGCATCGGCAACGTCCCGGGTGCACAATAGCGGAACACTCTTCGTCTTCGTATAAAAATAATCAGCGACGTCTAAGAGCACTTTATTCGCTTTCTGCCCCGATCCGCGATCGTGAATTTCCACCATGTAAGTGCGGCCCCGGCTACATCGGATTTTCCTGCCATCTTCGTCCGCGACCGTTCGCCGCGCTAACGTCTCGCCGTGCACCCGAGGAAACGGAAATAACGGATCGGTGAAATACACGAGGGGATGAATGAGTTGTTTTCCTGATTGTAAATTTACTAGTTTTCGTAGATATTTATTCGATAGTTCTAATAAATATTTTCAGTGCGTGTCACCAAGTGCCGCGTTCATTAGTTCGGTGGTGAAGATATGTGCTGATAGTGAGAAAGTGCAAAGTGTTATAGCCCTTTCCTGTTGTCATGGCTTACCTTTTAATGGTAAGTCTGTTTACTTGTGCTCTTGGAGTTGCTTCATTGTTGTTGGGTCGATAAGAAGGAGACCGAGTGTAAACTTCGTCTATCTTTGAAGTATTAAAAAAAGGAGGTTAACTGCACCGGTAGAGTAAAAAGCTTACTCTATTTCAGCTTTTTTCAGATATCCTCGGATATCTAGGAAAAGCTACGCGTGTGCCCTAAAAAGTTCAAGAAGGAAAAAGAGAGATAAAACATCGGACAAATAACTATGTATTATATATTTACCAGCAAATGACAACAAGAAATATGTTTATCAGTTCATTGTTTTACCTACCTCATTTTTTATTGAATGGAATTTTTAATTTAAAAGTAAGTCGCAATTTTTAAAACTCCATATAAAACTCAGGACTGGCGTTAGAAAAGACTGAAAAGAATTTTATACATGGAGTCGATAAACTCGTCAAGTTATATCTTCAAAACATCAAATACGAAATGTTTTTTCTTTAAAAAACAGAAAAAGAAAAAAATAATGTGAGTCTCTACCGTTTTGCTTTGGGATTCTGACATCACGATCGTCAACCTGGAAAGAGACTTTTTTTCATTACCTTTTTGACACGGAAAGTGCACAAATATGTCGAACCGAACTAAACTTTTGACGGTTTGAAGTTTGCAGCTTTAAAACACAGTTTTGAGACGTAGATATTGAAACTTTTGATCTGTCATGAGCAAAGCTGAACAAATTCAGATTATATAGCAACTTTACGCACCCTATGTTGGCATAAAAATTGATTAATTTGTGTGGAGCTTTTTTGGGGTACAGAGTATTTTCCGCTGTCAATTAATATTCCAATTTTTCAACCAAACTTGATGTTATCGATCTCTAAAATAAATATCTCTTTTCTACTTAGGTAACTTTTTCCGCGGTTGGTCGCATATCGACGGTGAAAATCCCAAAACCCCGTACCTCGATTTGCAATGCTGCATACTCCTGCCGTACTTCATTTTTAAATTTAAAATCTTCAACATCGAGTCTTAAGAACTTCCGTAATTTTCATTCTCTATGATTGTGAAAACACCGAGGAATGTTTTGATGTGCGTTCTCCTTTAAATACATACAATTGGAGCGGTGTATTAAGACACCACAAACGAGATTCGTGATTTGAGGGTCTCGCCTTCGACATTTTTCTACATTAAAGGGGCTCTGCTCCGTTTAGTGCGTTAAATGCTTAGGATTATTTTATAAAAAAAATGAAAATTAGAGTTTCAATAAGAAAATCAAAGTTTAAGGACGACTAATTTTAAATTTGAGAAAAAAGCAGCTTCTCACCTGACAACTTCATCAGGAAAAGCCTAACCAGCATTAATATTTTGTAAAAAGGATCTTTTCAAGATCATATCAAGGACACATCCTATCGATGGTGAAGTTGTGAAAATGTGTGCTTCAATTTGCGGCGTTGCAGACTTTCTGTTGTACTTTATTCTCAACATAAAAAGTGATTTTTGGAAAATCTCATTGATTTTTCCTCTCTAAATGAATAATATCCTGTGAAAATTTCAAGTTATGATTTTGGACCGGTCTCTTTATGAAAAATAAAGGAGGACGGCTTTCCTCACTTTTCCTTTTCACGCAATTTTCCTCAAATTCCCGTAAATTTTTGTGTGTCCTCTGAAGATAATTTTGTAGAGTCTCCAAACAAATCCGTCGTTCAGTTGTGACATGAGCATTGCAAGGTAAAGTCGGCATAAGCTGAGATATGTTGTTCCGTTTCCATTGACTTTGATCTCATGCTAGGACGTTTAATGAGCTTTCATGCATGACAGATTTTTACTGAAAATTTTAAAGTAGGAGTTTAAGCCACTAAACGAGTAACGTTAAAATTGGTAAACAATTTAAAAACTCTAGACCACTCATTTGCATAAGTCGTAAAATACTTAAGATTAATTAATAATTTGTAATTATTTTACGATTTATGCAAGTGAGTGGTTTCAAGTTTTTAAATTTTTTAGGTACCAACTTCAGATTTTTTCTTCAGTCACTTTTCTCCTTCCTCTCTTCCTTTTTTGACAAAGTATGCAGACTTCGACTTCCTATCAAGTACAGATATTATTACTATTTCAAGACCGAGGTGCCACCTGCATTGAGTATCAAATAAT